GTAAACAACATGCAAAATAAGATACAATGATCGAAATATGAGCATCAAATCAAATGTATGAATAAAGATAAGGAAGTTTAATTACCTGATTTACTTGATGATAATGAATTTGGTCTTTTGTGATGGCATCGATGGTGAGGACAAACACATACCAGTGGATGTTTTCGTTGGAAGAAGGGTTGTAGGCGAGGGAATGAGAGATCAAGGTGCAAGCTCCCTGATAAGAGAATCAACAACGAGAACAACAAAATGGGAAAGTGAGAACAACAAAATCAAAAAAATACACACATGATGAGTCGGAGGAAGAGGAATGGTTGTTAGATGTTGCTTCAACGAAAGAAGACAATGGTGATGTGTGGAGTCGGCCGATAGCAAGGAAATATGGGTAGTCTCCACTTTTGCTCCAAAGTTGTCCCGATCCTTCAAAGTTGGAGAAGGGACCGAATCAGATGAATATCATGGACCGAGTCGAAAGTGTGGATCGAGTCCATGAGTTTAAAAGCCAAGTCAAACATGCCAAATCAAAATTTTTGGACACACACCACATTTGGACCAAGTTAGAAGCCTTATCAAACACACCCTCAGTATATTGGTTAGAATGCATAATCACAAATACAATATGTATTATTAATTGGTTATAATTAAAACAATACCCACCTCAACTTCATCAAAATTCATTATAACTAGAAAAGGACGCGCGACTCCGCCGCTTTTGGACTATGTCATAGAAGTTAAATATCGGCAAACTTTAAAATATGTATTGAAAGTGTAAATCGCCACAAATAAGGGAGAAAACCGACACCCCCTAAAATTAGATTTCAAAAGTGTACAACAAAAAGAAAGAACATTGATGGAGAAAAACCAAAAATGTTGTGGCTATAATGTAAAAGTTGTCAAAGTTGGAAAAATATGGTGGCAAAAGTCTAAAGGAGGTTTTTTGTGTTTTTTATGTCAAAATGTAAAAGTTTTGAGTGCAAGGTTGAAAAGTGTCAAAGTCACTAAAAATTTATAGCAAAAACATCAAAATATAAAAGATTTGACTGCAAGGACGAAAAGTGTCAAAGTCACTAAAGATTTGTGGCAAAAATCTCAAGGCACAAAAACTTAATCAAAACTTAAAAATGTAAAAGTTTTCACTTCGAGGCAAAAACATCAAAATATAAAAGATTTGACTGCAAGGACGAAAAGTGTCAAAGTCACTAAAGATTTGTGGCAAAAATCTAAAGGCACAAAAACTTAATCAAAACTTAAAAATGTAAAAGTTTTCACTTCGAGGACTAAAAATGTCAAATTCATCAAACATTTGTGGCAAAAACCTAAAGCAAAAAAGATTACTATTCATAAGGTCCCTTGGATTTAATATATATATATATATATATATATATATATATATATATATATAATTTGATATTATGGATATTAAAAAATATGACCACTTCTCCTAATCCATTTAAACAATTAGACCATCTTTTTGAGAAATATGAAATTACCACTTTTGAAAAGACCTTTTCGTGAGTTAAATCTTGAGGTTATGTAAGGGTAGAGAAAGTTGGTTTTTTTAATGGAAACATCGTCATCATGGGGGCGTTGAGGGTAGCAAAGTCGGCAGCTGTATAAGGTCCAAATTTTTATTATTATATATTATATATATTTTTATTTAAAAATAAAAACGTATAATAACGATAAAGACCTTTTTTTCTAACTCGTCCCGGGTCTTTGAGGATATTTAATTTCTAAGGATCGGCCATTATTGTCATTTAGGAAGAAAAAAATTATTGACAACTTTCGAGAATCAATCCCAACAAATGCAAAAGTAAAGAAAACCATTTAACATCTCCCTGATCGTCTAGGTGAACAAAAACGATATCGAAACTTGTCCGAGAAATATATAAAGACAATAAGGGCCAATGGGCTCTTAATTTTAGTCAAAATATATTTGCCATATGGATAATGTCATAATAAGCCTTAAGTTTTACCGAGAATGTCGGTTTTACTCTTTGACAATATTTTGGTTCGTTTATGTCGCAAACTTACGACTTTTTGTTCGGTTTTACCCTTTTCACAGCTTAAGCCAGTCATCATTATAAATGGCAAGCCACATGTGCGCTGACTAGGCTGGATTTGCTGACATGTCGGCCATATGTGTGCTGACTGTGTCCCTTTGGCTTTTTTATAAGAAAATAAATAGGGAGTATAGAAAGAAGAGTGGAGGGATCGAACCCACATCCTTCAACTAACAAACAAACAAAGTTACCACTAGACTAAACCGATAGGTATGTATTTCACCTGCACAACTAATATATAACTTATAACACTGAAACAATTTAGTGCCATTTTAATCTTGATTTCGATTATTATTATTATTATTATTTCTTATTTTTAAAATAAGTAGGTATTTTTTTGTGTTATCATAACTACTTTTTTTTTTCAATATAAATGTATTTTTTCGTATTATGAATATAAGTATTCTTTTCGTATTTACTAAATACATACATTTTGTATGTTCAATATAAATATCTATATGTAGAATATCAATACAACTATATATTTTTTCGTATTTTCAATATAAATACGTAGATTTTGTATTATTCATTAGTAAACAAGTATTTGAATTATTCGGTTGAGAACTTCCAAATATATGGTATACATCTAACATAATGATATACACTTGAAGTTGAATACAACTAAAACTACATATTTAAAAGTGTAGATACGTTTTTTAGAGACATAAAATCATCTTCAACAATATTCTTTTCTAACAGCAGAAGTTTCTTCGTATATTCATGTATTTCCTTTCTTTTAATGACAAATTTATTTAGCTTAATCTTTTCAATACCATCATCAGATTCCTTATTGCCATCTAATATGTAAAAATAAATATCTAATCATCAAAAACAAAAATCCTTAAATGGAAAAGGCTCTTACGCTTTGATACCAAATTACTTTATTTTGAATAGATTTTGTTAGTTATACAAAATTGTATTTTCGACCTTTTTCATTCTTAAATATTTTAAAATTTTAGATTATTTTTAAAACTCAAACTTTAATTAAGCGTTGGTGCTAACTAGAATAAAACTGTAATTGTTTTTATAAAACTTTCATTGGATACAAGCATTAATTTATTAGGACGTGTTTACCGTAATGAAATTATTTTGATTTAATTGTAAGACTTTCCTTAAGAGAAATATAATTTATTATTATTTTTTTAAATTGTCTTTGAAATGATTACATCATAAATCGAAAAATAAATAACGAAAACCCTACAGGAAAATCCAACTCAACCACACGTCAAAATCAAAATGGAAGTTGAGCTAAAACACAAACAGTCAAAGGTCGCTATTTGATTTATGTCTATTTTTTTTAATCATAAATTAACAATTTTCCAGCTGTTGTTTTTTTGGCAATCACAAATTTTAGCATTTAAACCCAACCCTCCCCCACCCCACCCCCACACACACAATATAATATATATATAGTATATATAATATATATATATATATATATATATATATATAATATATATATATATATATATATATATATATATATATATATATATATATATATATATAAAATGGTGTATAACCGTTTGATATGCTTATTGTTGTTTCTGAAACTAAGCGGTGGAATATTTGTAATTATATTGGTAATTTATTAAACTAACGCTGTTAATTTACGATTGTGGGGCTATTGTTGTAATTTTACAAAGATTGATATGAATTTTGCAGGCTACGATACTGTAACCGCTTATTGTTTTCTTTTCTTTCTCGATCAAAGTCTCACTTCGAACTCTCAGGAAACTCTCTTTTTCTTTCTTTATTGTATTTTGCCCTAGTTTTCGTTTCTTATCTGTTATTGAGAAATCAGTAAATGTCTTCAGGAGAAAATATAAACGAAGCGCATCTTCGTTAATCGAAATGAAAGGTTAGAATGCGAGTTATTTTTCATTTTATTGATAATGCATGTTTTTATTAATTAGTTAACCGTCGTTTTATGTTGATAATGATGTTTTTTTGTTTTGATTCAGTAGGTTTTTCGTCATTTTAACTTGATTTTGATGATTGTCTCGTTTAGAGTTGATATGTTTTTTATTATGTTTGTTTGTGGTGGTTTTTGATGTAAGTTTTTGTTTATATTTTCACAGATAAGGATTTCAAAAGAAACTATGTTCAAAAAAAAAAATTCAAAAATCAAAAAATATCGAATGCGGTAGAAGTGCTGTTATTTCCGAAGGTACAGTTAAAAAAAATCATCTATGATTAGAAGTAGAAATAAACATATAACTTAATGTTTGAAGTTATTTGTTGTAATCATAACTGATTTTTTGATTTTTTCAGTGTATTGAACATAGCATTTAGTTATATGTTTATTTCTACTTCTAATCATAGATGATTTTATACGTTTGTTTATAATCATTGGTAAATAGTAATGATAAATGTATTTTTATGTATCAAACATGAATTTAAAGTTATTTTTGTAATCATAACTGATCGTATATAACATTTAGTTGTACTTTTATTTATTGTTCTAATCATAAATGATTTTATACGTCTGTTTATAATCATTAGTGAATAGTAATGATAAATGTATGTTTTATTTTTTACTAACACTATGTTTGTAATGAAAATTGTAGTTAAAAAAGGGAATGTAGATAGCTCAAGGAAGACATGATCATCTTCCAAAAGAGAAAAGGCGAATGAGATGTCACAAACACGTTCAAAGACATCCAAAAAACAGTTATTGAACAACCAAAAGTGAAGCTGAGGGTTAAGGTCAAAACTGTAAGTAAGAAACGTGAACTATCTGATGAAGATGATTCAGATTTTCAGAGTCGTCCTGGATCTTCAAAGAAACCAAAGAGAGAAACTAAAGTTTTGAAGAAAGATAAAAAAGTTGTTGTTATAAAAGAAATTCCTTCATTGAAGAATAGATGTTCACCCGGGTCATTGTTGGGTGTTATTCAAGGTTTAAGTAGAGAACAGAAGGATTGTGTTAGGGCTATGGGATTTGGGAGTTTGTTAGGGATGAAGATGATTGACGTACCGTTGAAGATTGTTTATTATGTTCTTGATCATTTTAATTTTGAATCTTTGAAGGTGGAGTTTGATAATTGTGAAGTTAGTGTTGATAGTAAGTCTGTTCAAGAGATGTTAGGATTACCATCTGGTGGCTCATTACTTTCAAACATGGATTACATTTCGGAGAATAATGAAGAGAGCTGTATGTTTGAGTGGAAGAAACAATACGAAAATATTGATAAATTGAGATTGAAACAGCTAAAGAATGAACTTGTTCAAACTAGTGCTGCGGATGACAACTTCAGAATCAATTTTTTGGTTGTTTTTATTAATACTTTCTGTGAGTCTACAAGCATGAGTAAATGTAATCTGAATCCATTGTATTTAATCAGAAGAGATACTGATTTAAGTAGCATTGACTGGTGCGATTACATTGTGGATTGTTTGGTAAGGACGAAGAAGGTTTACAATCCAGAGAAAGAATCTTCTTTATTTTATGGACCAGCAGCATACCTTATGGTACGTGAGTTATTTTTTTATATTTATTATTGTTTTTAGTTGTAAAAATATGTTTGTTTTTATAATAAATCATATATGATTTTGTTACATATAATCATATCTGATTATGTAGTATAATTTTTTTGTTTAACTTATATTACACATCAAATATATATGATGTTATATATGTTATGATGTTATATATGTTTTTTGTAGTTGTTGTATGTGGATACTTTCAAGTTTTATCATTTGCAAGTCACACGTAAACGTCCAACTATTTTTTATTGGACGTCAGAGAAGATAAGGTTTCTTGAGGATATTTTACAAGAGAGTGGAGGATTTGGATGTGGACATGTTAATGAAGGATATGTTGAAGAAAAATTTCAAGAATCTGAGTATAATGAGGAGGAATCTGGTGGTGATGAGGTTGAATTTGATGGTGAAGAGGATTTATGTGACGAGGATGAAGAAGATTTTGATGTTAATAAAGTTAGTGATGTGGAGGTAATTCTATAGTTTTATTCATTTATGATTTAATTAGTTTATTGATTTATGACTTTTTATGTTTAAGTATTTTAGTTGTAAGTATCTTTTTTCTTATGTAGGTGTATGAAAGTAAAATTTCATGTATGTATCAGAAGATGGAGGATTTGAAAATGATCTTGTTGTAAGATAGATGAGGGAGTGTTGAAGTTTCCTCAAAGTCAAAATTTGAAAAATTGGAAATTATTATTTCCTGTTGAAGATTTAAGCACAGATATTAACACCTGGTTTTGTTCAAGTTAATGATGAAGATTATGGGAATGATTTTCTTAATGATGATGAAAATGTTGAAGATTATGATCAAGGGAAATGTTCTGGTGGTCAGGGGGATGGAAGTGGTCCACATGAGGGCAATATTGGTAAAAATCATGTTGAAGGTAAAGGTGATGATGATGAAGATGATGAACAAGGAAATGGAAGTGGATGTAATAAAGAAGAGGCCATGAATTTAAATTATGTTGTTGAAAATGTTACTAAGAGTGTGGGTCTAATTGATAGCCAGGAAGGTGTGTCTTTTAGTCAATTTATTTGCGATCCGTTGTTGAAGTTTTCTTAAAACTTTGGATCAAGGTAGGCATATTTTATTATTATATTAGTTTAATCATATATGATTTTAATTTTTATATATTGAATTTTATAGGTACTGATGGTTGTTTAAATCAGAAACTAGTTGAAGATGATGTGAATTTGAATTTGACTGGTATTGATGATGGTAAGTATTTATTTATGTATTTTTAATACACAAAATATATATAAATATGTTATATAGATGATTCATTTATGATTTTAATAATTTAGGGACTGTAATTTGGGTGAGGATGATCATAAAATAAAGATGGAGGTAATTTGTTTATAATTATTGTTTTATTCATATATAATTGTGTTTTATATTATTGTGTATTCATATATGATTTTTATATTTTATTGGGTAGAAAATGTTGAAGATTGTTCAAATAAAAACAAGGATTCAAATGAGACTCGATTATTGAAAAATGATATTGTTCCAAGTTTTAGTCTTGGATTTAGTCAAGATTCTGAAGGTTCCAAGAAGTCATCTCAAAGTCAAATTCTTCTGAACGGATGACAAGAAAAAGATTAAGGATAGAGTTATTTGGGAAAACCAAAGTGCTGGTCCAGAGTGTGTTATTCCAAATGTTGATGTTATTGATGCTAGTCCAGTTTCTTTTGCACCCCCTTTGGGTACATTAGAAGGACCATCAAACCCTGTTTCTGGCAAACCTAAAGATATAAATGAAGAAGCAACATCAGTAGTGGATGTCAAAGGAAAGAGACAAATGAAGTTTTCTTATGTTTATAAGTCACCATTTAAGGAAAGGTTAATTGATTTTAAACCTAGTTTGATACAAGTAGAAAATGTTGTTTGTGAATGACTTTTCAATCTTCAAGGAAATCCAGGGTAATTTTTTTAATATAATTTTTTATTTTTATAATTTTAATTTTTTATTTTAAATAACATTTAATTAAATATATACAGGGATATTGTATTGCTTATGGAAACAGATGTTATTGGTTTTAGAGCTAATTATGAAAATCTTTTTAAAAAAACCCATTTGCATGTTAGTGTTCTTGATTCCTGGTCTCGTATACTAAATCATCAAGAGAAATTCAGAGATGTTGTTAATTCTCCACTCAGATTGTTCATGAATTCTGACACTGTAAGTTTTTATTTTATTCTTTACTTTTCATATGTTGATAATCATTAATAATTTTTTTATTAAATATTTACATGTTATTATATAATCATTTATGATTTTTCTTATATTACAGACTTTGTCATTTGAATATACTCATTTGAATGAAACTGCAAAATATAAATTTTTCAAGGACAACTTCTCTCGCAGTGTTTCTGGTGATAGAGACTTGAAGGTTTTGAAGGATGTTGATATGGTATATATATATATATATATATATATAATATATATATCTATATATATTATATTTTATTTATAATATTATACATGTTGATGTTAGGTATTTTTCCCGGTATTGAAGCATAAGCACATATATCTTATTGTTATGAATCTGAAGAAACGTGCTTTTGAGGTTATCGATAATGGTGCAGATGATGTTGATTTCGATGATAAGTATGGTGCAGTTTTTAAACCTCTTGTAAGTTTCAATGATATTTATTCTTTAGATTTGAAATCATATATGATATGTTTTATAATTATTATACTTATATTTTTCTGACTTGAAATCATATATGATTTTCAGAAAAGTCTTTTTTGAAGTATCTAAAAGAGATCGATCATGTTAAAGTAAATGAAATGGCTGCTAAAAATCTTACTCCAGTAAGATTGACAATGCCATGGAGGACAGTTTATAACAAAGTGGATTGTGGAGTTTTTGCTATGAGACATATGGAGAGTTATTTTGAGAAATGTTCTAAATGGAAATGTGGTCTTCCAAAAGAAGGTGGTTCTCAAGAAAAAATTCTGGAAAAGTTGAGAATGAAATATGCAGCAGCAATTTGAACTTCTGAGATTAATACAAAGCGTGATGATATGTTGAAAGCTGCATATGAGTATCAAAAAGTTGATCAAAAGATTCGTGGGAAGCATTCATATGATGCTCAATGGAATATAGAAAGAAGGCTGTCAAATTTTTTTTGATTGAATATTTTCTTATTGATGATGTTATAAGAACAAGTTTGTTTATGTTGTGTATGTTATGGATATTGTGAATAATGTTTGTTTGTATGATGATGGAAAACATGGTGATGGAAAACAAGTTAATATGTATTTTGGTCGATTTTATTATGTAAGTTTGTTTGTGTGAATTATGTTATTGAATGTTAATCATAAGTGATTATGTTATATTTTTCTATGTAATTTATGTTTTTGTATGGATTATATGTTGCTTATATGTAATCATTAGTGATTGTATCGATTATTTTTTTCTATTTTTGTAATCATAAATGATTATATTTTTTTCTTGATAAGTGAGCTTATCTTTACTGCATGGAATACATCACCATGCAGAATCTTATCTTTGTAAGATTTTAGTTTTGTTTTTTAGTGTTTGTATTGAAGAATCTTTTCTTTATAAACGAAAACTGATTTGTACAACCATATATTGTATTTTTGATAAGTGATTATGTTTGTATAAAGTGGGTAGCCTCGTGCTACCCCTTATATTTCTTCAAAGATGAGTCCTTATAATTCCAAATGGTTAGTTTTGTTTATTAATTTCTTCAATTTTTATATATCACCATTATTTATTTATGATGTAAACAACTTCCATTTTGTTTCAGGTAAAATATGGAGTCTATAGGTCTAAAAGAACTAATTTTGCTGTATCTAATAACATGTTCCCCATTTTTTTTCAAGATTCTTGTTCTTTTATTTGTAGCTAGATTGTCATAGATATTGTAGCTGACTCCGAGAACGCCACTTCCGCCATTACTTAAAAAGTTTATCTGTATTGAACATATCAGATCTTTACTAGATGTCTTTGAAGTAGAGGGATGTTGTTCATTTAAAGAAGATTTCTTTTTAATGAACAACATTTCTCTACATCAGATATGTAGTAAAGATTTTGTATGTTCAATGGAGACAATCTTTCTAAGTAATGGTGGAAGTGTTCTTAGAGTCAGCTACAATTTGTATGAAAATATAGCTAGGAATATGATGAACAAGAATCTTGGAAAACGGGGAACGTGATATTTGAAACTTGTGAAATTGTTTGTTATTGAAGATTTTATCATGTTTGATGTTATTCTATGATGATGAATATTGTTATCTTTATATTTTTTATGAGCAGTGTTGTATATTTGTTAGGAACGATGTTGTTGTATATGGTTATATGTAATGGTTAGATGTTTTTTCTGTGTAATCATATTTTTAATCACTTATGATTAAACAAAACATATGAAGTAGTATTACATAATATTTTATGATTATACAGATGAATATTGTATATGGTTATGTGTAATGATTACATGTATTGAATAATAGTTTATATGTAATCTTAAATGCTTGTAGTAACATTTAATAAAAGTTTAATCATGAATGAATATATTATCAAATCAAAGAAAGAATTATCAAAGTAGATTAAATCGAGTAGACAAAATAATAGTAAATTCTGTTTTATAAAAAGAGTAAAGTGTACTAAACAAAAAGTATATTATTTTGATAAAACAATTCATGACTTATTCATTACTGATTAATGCATAATATCTATGTAGCTTTTTGATGATTGTTTTTTGCTGCAAGTTTAATTGGGCATGTCCGCAAGTTATGAGGAGCCCTTTCTCCACATCCTGAGCATCTTCTTGTTTGCTTGTTTGAATTTTTATACGCTATTTTTTGCTGCACTTTGAATTCTACTTTCTTTCCCGCATCCTTTATTGCTTTGAACATTTGGAACATTGATGTCAATGTCTTTTGGAATAGATATGCCATAAGCTTTCCTACCTCTTCAACATCTGTCCTATTCTTCTGCAATTCATTTGTAGGATCGTTTTCATATTCCCTTCAGCATGCTTTCTGTTTTCTTAAAAAACAAATCCATTTTTTCTTTATTTTTTCTTACGTATTCCAAACATGCTTCAAAGTTGTAGTATGCTTGATTGACAGATCTGTTAATTTCACTGTCTCCTGTATCATATACATGTCTACCAAAATTATAATGCCTTGATATCACATCCTTTCTCCAACGATTCTCAATGTACTCTTCAGGTATCTCCTTAATTCCATGTTTCATGAGTATGTTGAATGCATGTCTGCACAAAGTCCCAAAGTGTTCACAAGTACATTTTACATCATTTGTTGGAAGTTTTATTTCTACCTGTTCAAAATAAAATTAAAGCATTAAGTGTTTTATAATCATAACTGGATATTTTTTTTATATTATGTGCTGATTCAATAAAATTTAAAATAAGAATATATTACCTCAAATTCTGTTTTTAGATCACTGTTTTTGTTCAGTTGTTCCACTTTGTATAACTCCCATCCATTTTTTGTTCCAAGATGTTCGTATTGGCAGTACCAGGAACCTTTATAGATTTCTTTCTGTACTTCATAAAACAATGTACTTGTATAAACTTTTGCAGCATGTTTTTCTATTGGTCGTGGTGAAATAAATTTATATACTGCCTTCTTTGTTTGATGATTAAGCTCCTGTTGTGTATTTCTTTGTTTTTGAATTGCTGTGTCATAGTTCATCATGAAATGTAAAAGTAAATTTCCAGATTGAGAGTAAGTGTTAAAGAAGGAATTCATGCTTTCTGATCTTGTAGTGGTTTTCATCAATCTAGACATTCTTGTGTCACTGAAGTATGCATGTATCCATTTGTCACGTAATTCAAACATATTATTGAACCATCTTTTATCTTCCAGATTGAATTCATTAATAATCAAATCCCACTTCTTTTCAAATTCATCAGGTTTGATATGCATGTTCCAAACAAGCTTGTTAAATCTTTTCTTGAAGTCTTTGTTTTTAAATAAATCGTCGGTAACCTATGAATGAACAACTTTGCTTATATAATTATAAATTATATACCTATTTGGATATATCATATATGAGTAATCATATATGATTACTGTAATGTAGGATATATCTGTTGGATTAATGCCTAAGTCCATAACTATAATTGGTAAGACTTGACCCGACCCGGCATGGTCCATTTGGGTTGCATGCATCATGCATTTGGATAGACTATAATGAAGAAATAACACTTAAGGTTGGTTAATATATATAAGTTCTAATATATTAATAAGGTTATTTAATTAGTATTGATCAAGAATTAATTTGGAATTAATTAAGTGATTAAAAGGAGACTAATTAAATATATGGGTTGATTGTGTAAATCATTCATTCTTATATATGTGGGCTTGTGATCCAAGATTCCTTATGTTGGACTACGTCGATGGGGTGACCCATGGATACTCCATGGAGGTTAAAATCCATGGAGCATAAGGAATGGGTAAAGTTATGAGTTACATGGTGTAACCCTAATAGCCACCATATAAAAGAATCCCATGGCTCAAGAAATCGTGCACTAATGTGTGAGTGTGAGGGCTAGACGATTTCAAGGAGTGTTCAAGTTTTCTCTCAAGTTATTCCAAGTGTATTTGGTGTTGTGTGAACCATTTGAGGTGTCACACTTGGGGCACTAGGCACTCAAGCTTCATGAAGACATTCTACACATCAAAGAGGTATGTATTCTATCTTGTTATATTTATTATTTTGTATGCTAGATTAGGATAATACCTTGGATGTTCATATTGTATGTATAAGAGAGAAACATAGATCCAAGGTATTTAGGGTTGCATGTACACTTAGGAGTGTTAGAATGCTCTAACCCAACAGTGGTATCAGAGACAGGTTTGTTTTCTTGTTATACTTGCAAAAGTAGCTGAAAAAATCGAGTTGGATGCATATATTCGATGGTTTTGGCTGGAATTGGACTAGGAACATTACCCTAAGATGTTTTTGGACTTATAAACTTGTTTTTGATGTGGTAATGTTCATGCTAATCCAATTTCTAGATAATTGTCATAATTTCAAGATTTTGTATTAGTTTGTATGTTCATGCTAATATTCTTGAAGATTGATGATTTGAATTATCTTGTTCTTATGAGGTTCTTAGATTAATAGAAGTTGTGTGAAATAGTTGTTTTTCAATCCATTTTAATCTAAGAGTTGATTCCACGTGTGTTTTTGTAACTTGTCCCTCAAGTTATATGAAAGTCCACATTTAAGAATCATAAAACTCATAAAAGTTGGCAAAGGTTACAAAATGAAGAGTCTAGTTCTAATTAAATGGTTTTATGACTCGATAATTGTCCTCAAGTTATGGAGGTTCAAGAGTCTCTTCATTAAATTAAAAAAAGTGTAACCTTAATTAGTTTCCATAAGTTACAATAAAAAAAGTTATTTTTTATTAATTAGTTTAAAGTCTTCCATAACTTGTCCTCAAGTTATGGAACTTTGAAGAGTTTTTTTTTATTTATTTAAACTACTTTAAAACTCATAAGTTATGGAATTAATTAGTTTTGAATAGTTGCAAAACTTGCCCTCAAGTTTTGGAATTTGAAAAGTTTTCACTTATGAATACTTTAATTCCAAGTTAGCCCTTAGAATTTTAAAAGTTAAAATTCAACCCTTATACTTTATAATATTATAAGTTAATAATATTTATATATATGTATAAGAGTAAAGTCAGTCTTACCGTTAGTAGGCCTCATTCACGAAGCCGGTCTATAAGGGGGGTATAAGGTTACTGCATCCCTTAGAATTTTAAAAGTTAACATGGACTTGTGAGAAGTGGCAAAGGTCTAAACAATTGAGACTATGATTACGGCATCCCTTTTCATAGTTCTAAAATTGTTTAGACACACATGTGAGCTATCTAAGAGAGGTGTATGATTTTGATAAAGTTTTATCAAAACAATCTAGTATCAGAAATCTGAACTTTGGTAAGAAAGTCAGCTATTTCTGAGTACTGTCAAAGCTAGTGGGAGCATAAGTGTTATGCTAATATCATCATGTTAGTGGGAGCATGATAATTATGACAAAGGTTGCAAGTTAGCAATGTTAAAATAGAGAAACAAGGTTTCAATTCGTGAGGTTTGCAGGGGTGAAAAAGTTGTTTTTTGCTATAATTAAGGGAGAGGAAATTATACTTCATTTCAATCTAAAGCTTAGATTAGAGATTTTAATCGTATTTAATCAAGGATAGATATATGAATTTCATGTTGGAATGGCTCAACTAAGGAATTATATATATGGGTCCATTATTTGCGTTCTAAAATTTCGATTATGATTACGGCACCCTTTCATAATCGAATTTTGAGAACTTGGCAAATTGAAATGGAAATATTATAGCAAAAGACTGGTTTAGTCTTTATGTGAGACATCATGAATCGTGTCCCATATGCTTCGGATATAGGATCGATTACATGTGCTATATTCATCCTTTCTAAAATTTTCCAAATGCCTGGGGCATTATGAAAGGAAAGGGTCTAGAATTGGATATGACTAAAATGATTAAGCAATTGTCGAGGACAATCTAAGGTTTACCAAAGATTGGTTGCTCAAGGACAGTTGGAAGTATAATGTTTATTCTGGAAGGACCATATTGACATAATCTGTAAGGAGGCAACTCTTGTTCAGAAGTAATAGTCAAAATGGAATATGGAAATGTTTCAAAGTTAGAAATATTCATCTGTGTAAGATTAGGAAACTTAATGAAAGAAGGATGTTTCCAAGGAGCGGATCTCCTTTGGAATGCTCTGTAATGATTGTTGTCAAGTCTTTCTGACTTTGTGCATAATCATTAAGAGGATCAATGCATATAAGTTTAGAAATCTAACAGATTTCAGTAATGGCATGAATTTGGAATTCTTGCATTTGACAGTAAGGATTTGGGACTGTGAAAAGAGGATCATTGGAGTGATGTGT